CGTGCTCCAAACATACACCTTTAACAATCTTTTTCGAATTTCTAAATTAACCGTTCGCGAGCATAGAAGTGACTTCTTTTTATTAAAGGCGACCCGACCCTGCGTTATCCTCTGCTTTATATCCCTACTACTCCTTCCGTCCTGACTTATCTGACTTCCTAGATATCTAAAATCAGCCACTTCTTCTAATTTTTCGAGTCCTATCTTTATATTCGCTCTTTCCCAACTTTTTCTTCCCTTGCATACCAGTATTTTAGTTTTGCTTTTATTTATTTTCATACAGCATAAACGTGGATTAAACAATTAAATTGCAATTATCTTTTACTAATGACAACACGAGTTCAGGGGTCTTTCTGCTTTAATTTTACTTCCAGGTTTGTGCGACGTTAGGAACAACTGGAGCCTGTGCTTTCGATAACTTAGACGAGATCGGTTCCGTTTGCAGAGAAGAAGACATTTGGCTGCATATCGATGCTGCATATGCGGGAAGTGCCTTCATTTGCCCGGAACATCGCAGTTGGCTGAAAGGAATCGAAAAAGCCGATTCTTTTGCTTTTAATCCATCGAAATGGCTAATGGTGCATTTTGATTGTACAACCATGTGGTAATGTATTTAATATTTTGTCAATATTTTAAATTACTAGTGTTTCTTGTGTAACTTTATTTTGCAGGATCAAGAATAGCGGCGCCTTACACCAAACTTTCAACGTTGAACCGCTTTACCTGCAACATGAAAACTCAGGTTAGTTAAAAATAATACATCTCGTTGTTATCTGGTATCTAATCATGTTTATTTTAAAGTAATTGACTGATATTTACATACAGGTATAGCCATTGATTACATGGTAAGTAATAGAAAACTATTTTGGTAAATTTAAATTAGAATGCACCAAGAGTCGGACAGTTAACTAGGTCACAGTTTTATTTGCAGAGACATAGTTAATACAAATAATATTCTTTAAATACAATAAGATCGTAGGCTTTTACGCCCGAAATCAACGTGAAATTTAGATTTGGATTGATGGCCCGTAGTCGAAATGAGGGATTAAGTCCAAACGTTTTGTCGATTAAAGATGCCAATGGTAGCAGCTGACGAAACGTCTGGAGTTAACAGTTCATTTGGCCCACGGCCGAATGCCTGGGACCATATAGTCATAATAGGAATAATATAGGGACGGGGCACAGTGTCAAGTGTCATTAAAAGTAGTTGTGTCCATCCAGTTGTGCCTAAATCTTATTGGTTACGCCTGACCAATCATTGTTTATAATGAATTGAAATGCAGTTCAAGTTTATATACCCTTCACGGAGAAAATGAAAAAAGAAAATTTACCTAAATTTTAAAGCGATATTTACAATTTATCCCACTAGTTCGTTGCTTTGTAAGCGAGAATAATAAAAATTACAATTTGGATCCGAATTTGTAAGAATAAAATCCCAGCAGAAATAAATTTACTAGGTAATTTATTTGATATTACAAGTTAAAATTAAAAACATTTCAGAATTATTGTTATTATTTCTACGGCAAATTCGGTCATTTATAATCGAAAATTTTTGCGTTGTCATAAAAATTTAGTTTTCTTCGTGTTAGTTGGATATCGCACAAAGTCTCATTGAGCATGGTATTGATAAAATATGTACTGCAGTTATAAATTCATTTTGAGATAAGTGTAAAAAAGGTTGTTGCTTAAATAAATCAGCACATTATACAAGAATGAGAATATTACTAGCTTAAAACTAATTTTAGTGAACATTTTCTTTAAAACGTTATTAGTTTTATCATTTCTTTCGATATGGCTATGGTCATAACATTTCTAGAGCGGCGCGTCCTCTTTCTTCGGTAAAAAAATTTCGTATTTATAATTCAACTTTTTAAAATGTTAACGTAACGGGTAGTCAGTATCATCTAGGCACATGTTATCTCACTGCATTGTCAGCAGACACCAACTTACCGATCCGCTAGTTTGTGTACATCCTTATAATTATTACTATGCTCATGGTTCAAATCTTAAGTCAATATTCCTTAGATTTCTCGTCCTGTTACATGCTGGACTAATTCCATATTAATAAACAATTTCTTCTCATTACAGTTAATTTTTTTTTTAATTTCAGCATTGGCAAATACCCCTTAGTAAACGGTTTAGGGCTTTAAAGCTGTGGTTTACAATAAGGAATTTTGGCATAACAGGACTTCAAAAACATATTAGGGAAGTAAGTATAAAATAAATACAAAATTCTTAATATTAATCTTTTTTGGTTGTGAAAATTATTTTAGGGCATAAGATTGGCCCAAAAATTTGAAGCCTTAGTATTGGCCGATCCCAGATTTGAAATCCCGGCTGCAAGGCATCTGGGTTTGGTGGTGTTTCGCTTAATAGGTGAAAATCATCTTACGGAAAAGCTGTTGAAGAGGGTAAACGGGAGGGGTAAAATACACTGCGTTCCTGCAGCTCTGAAGGATAAGTACGTCATAAGGTTTACGATTACGTCACAATTTACCACTGCAGATGATATTATCAAAGACTGGAAAGAAATCAAAGAAGTCACCAATGAAATTATTGCGGAAAACAAAGAGGGTAGTGTTATCCCTAGGGTACGGGTTTCGCTGAAAGGTGAGTCACACAAATAAGGTAAATTGCAAACCCTCTGTGACAAAACTCATTATAACGAAGAACTGACTACGATGAGGCACTAACTATTTAACTTATGAGAAGACTTTAACTTCTACTGCTTTCCAGCGAAGTTAATTTTTTCTTCGAGTTCGTTGACCACCGTCTTGAAAAGCCTGTATGAATTTAACATTGTTTGAAGGAAAGTATATTCAATAAAATGGATAGAAATGGTTATATTAGCATCTAGCAAGGAGAAGTGAGAGATAGCTTTAAATAAAATGGAAGCGGTACTGACAAAACAGAACTGTATAAAAGTAAATAAACGTAAAATAAAAATACTGGTATGCAAGGGAAGAAAAAGTAGGGAAAGAGCGAATATAAAGATAGGAGACTAAATATTAGAAGAAGTGGCCGATTTTAGGTAACAAGAAAGTCACATAAGTCAGAACGGAAGGGGTAGTAAGGATATAAAGCAGAGGATAGCGCAGGGTCGTGTCGCCTTTAATAAAAAGAAGTCACTTCTGTGCCCACGAACGGTTAATTCAGAAATTCGAAAAAGGTTGTTAAAGGTGTATGTTTGGAGCATGGCGCTGTATGGGTGCGAAACATGGACAGCGGGCGCGGCAGGAAAGAAAAGGTTAGAAGCGTTCGAAATATGCTGTTACAGGCGAGTGATAAGGATATCGTGGATAGAGAAGGTTAGAAATGAAGAGGTATTAGATAGAGTAAAAGAACAGAGGAATCTATGGAAGTCAATAAGAAATAGGCGAGATTGGTTAGTAGGACACCTTCTCAGGCACGAAGGTCTAGTCAGAGACATATTAGAGTCAGAAACGGGAGTTAGGTGGGGTAAAGGTAGACCTAGATTAGATTACTGTTCACAGATAGTTAAGGATATGGGTTTTTCTAGTTTTAGGGAAATGCGTTTATTAACTCAGGATAGGAAAGAGTGGAGGTACGTGTCTAATCAGTCTTAGGACTGACGACCTTATGATGATGCTGACTTGTCTATGGCATGCTGATGAGAACTATAAAATCAATTTAGCGATCCACATCTGGTAGTTTCGATAAATTACTAAAAAGTACTTGATGCTCTTATTTAAACCATTCATTTGTAAAAATTCTGTTTTATCTTTTAAACTTTAACCATAAACTCATAGTCGGTCCTTGAGTTTTGTCACAGAGTTTGTGTATTAATTATAATTATTTCTGTGAAATGATATGAAGGGCCTTAGATATGATTGCCTAAGAAATCTTTCTAGATACAAGGGAACTGAATGAAAATTTTGGTACAAGCCTTTTGTTATCCAATTCTCCAATGTCACCCAAGATAGTGAATGGAAGTTTTGCTGCTATCTACGATCAAAAAGAAATACTTCAGGAATACTCCAGAACATTTTCGGTATTGAGAGAAAAAGTTCAGAATAGTCCAGGTAAATACAGCAATATCAAAAAAAAAAATTGGTTCTCGTAATACATCACGTCTGTAGTGAATGGCGTGATATCGAATTAGTAAGACGATGTATATACAAAAAGTAGCCCTTAAAATAATTATATAGGGGAATCACTTTTGCAATGGAGCACCCTTTCTTCGTGTAGAGTACGATGAATAATGTGAATCGGTTTTTGTTTTGTATCAATTATCACGGAATCACGGAAAATTATTTCGAAGGAAAACCTAGAGCCACGAAATGTCATTAAGAAGCACGTTTGAAACTAAATTAATTTGATTAGTGTGCTAATAAAATGCTTCCCACTTCTTGAGTTTAGGATATAAGAAGTGATCATCAAAATCGGACGTTTATTTTATAAATATTTCAAATACTAATTGGTAAACCAACCGGCAATTACTGTAAGACTAACTAAAAGTTACAGTTTTTAATATTTCGTATGAATTCAAATTTGAATTATGTATGTAGAAATATGGCTTACAAGAAAACTCTCTTAATGAGTAGTTGTAAATCAAAATGGTTGATACTTAAGATGCGGTCGAAAAAACAAAATGCAAAATACGTTTGTGTATAAAGTATTAAAATCATAGCATATTATATAATTTTTTTAATAATAGAAATGAGAAGAAGAGTTAGAGGAATATTAATGTCCGGAAAACAATTTTCTTTGGATTCTCGTCTAGATCTGCAAGTTTATTGTGGTAACGATACCGGAACGAAGGGTCAAAGGCCAGTTTCGGAGCCCGGTAATAATACCCCTTTGGTCGAAGAAAGTAACGCTGATGTAGAGGAGAATGTTTGGGAAACAGATGGTACGTACTCAAATAACAATACAGAACTTCATCGTCCTTTATTTCTACTTGATACTATCAATAAATTTAATATAATGATTCTTTTTTGTTAATTTTTTTGGACAAAATACGATATAACGCTTAAGCTTAATGCCTGTAGATATTCGCCACTTTTTAATCTATGTTTTCTGAAAATACGTATAGGTACTAGAACAGAAAATTGTGTTGCGTCGTGTCGTATGCCTTATGGCTTATATATATTTTACTTTACTTTTTGACACCTGTTGTATTATATTAACAGATTCAGCAGTCATTAAAGTGATTACCTATATGGTTTTATTCAGAGTTTTGGGGTACAGTGTCGAATCGTTGGCAAATGACCATTACTAAAGTCATCCTTATCCTAACTAATATTATAAATTCGAATGTGAGTTTTATTGTTTATTGAGGGATAAAAAAATTAGTTTTATGTGGTCGTTGACAATCTCTAACACGTATTTAGGGCATCAATGCGAGCGAAGGCATGGGTAAAATCTAATATGAAGTTTTGTACATACATTGTTAGGGGTACAAAAAAGGACATAGGGTACCTCTTTCTTTTATCACAAAGAAATACTGTTCCAGAGGGATAAAGTAGTCGTCGATGATCTTTGACACGTATTTAGGGCATTAATGCAAGCGACCCTAGACAAAAATATTCAGTCTCTCGCCGGTCTTTCAGAGTCTTTCAGAGTCTCTGAGAGCGTCTCTCACAGCCTTTCACAGTCTCTCAGTTATTGCCTAGGTGTTTTTATGGATCTCTCACAGTCTCTGTATGAGAGACTCGAACGATAAAATTGTTAATTCAGAGATTCGAATCTCTCACAGAGAGACTGAAAAATTGAGAGACTCGAGTCTCTCGTAGAAAAACTGGGATCTCTGAAATACGTTGAACTTAGAATATTTTTACCATGTCTATCAAGACACCACTTATTGAGAGATTAGAGTCTCTCGTTCAGAGATTCGAGTTTCTCGTTTAGTAGAGATTCGAGTCTCTCGTTCAGACACTGGATACGAAATGAGGATCCCTCAATGAGCGACTCGAGTCTCTCGTTCAGAGACGCTAAACAGTTTTTTTGACAGTCTCTCGACAGTTTCTATTAGCGACACCAGAGACACTTGATGAGAGACGGAGACTCGAGTCTCGCTTTCAGAGACTCTGAGAGACTGAACATTTCCATCGGATAAAACCTATCACGAAATTTTGTACCTACGCACTTGTCAGGGGTTCAGAAACAGATATTTGTCAGTATTACATTTTCGAGTAAATAAAATTAGCGTTGGAAAAGACCGAGAATCTGTGCGAAACGTTGGCTGTGGTTTTTAAATAAAATAAATTTAAACCCCAGTGTTGCTTTAAACAAAAAGAATTAATGGGTGGGTAGTCAAAAGGTTTGGTTATCAAAGATGGTGGGAATTTCTAGATAAACTGATACATGGTTAGTTCTAACTCATTAGCATATCTTAGAAGCCTTAGCTCAAGGTCTATCAGAAACTATAGACAATTTTATCCATGCGTACCTTTATTTATATTTATAATAACCAGAATTACTTATTAATGCCTATTCCAGAGAATAATGGAAAAATGGATGATAACACTCTTGATCCCTTTAAACCCAGACAAAATAGATCTCTGTCGGTGGATCAACCTATCCCCGCTGTTATTCAAGACGATGGGGCGGAGAGGAAATGTTTGAAGTGCGGACACGTGCTTTAATAAACAAGGACAGAAAACAATAGACTACATACAGATAAGTTTAACTCACTTTTACCATTAGCTTCTCCCTGTTCGTTATCGCTTTTGTAAATTGGTTTCTTCTACGAATACTTAATAAAAAATGTAATGAATTCAAGATACACATGAATGTTGACCGTTAATACCAAATTGCATACAATAGTTTGTCTGATCGTGAAATAGTAAGTAATTACATGTATTATTATCGATATTATCGGTGCTATTTGTGGATTAGCTTATCTTGATGAAAATGTATCGCATAGATGACAACAAGTAATTAATGATTAAGGAGATGGCGTATTTTAATTGTTTCGGTTTGTTAATAATTGTATATTGTCAACTGCTGTGGAATGCAATAAAAGATGTAAATGTTTCCTGTAAATGTTTACACTGTTGTCAGTGAGTAATAATAAACCTAAACATATTTAGAAATTACGTAGTAATAATTTGATTTCGAGAAGTTAACCCCTTGGTTATTATGTAAAGAAGGTAAGTACTTTTTACAGTTCCTGGTCGAAATTGATCGTAAAAGTACGATAAGAAAAAATGTATAGGAGAAGTTTCCACTTGCTAAATCCTAATCTATCCTATCTAACACAATCTAATACAAATTAACATAACCCAGGTTAGATAGGGTAGAGTAGATTATGGTATGCAAATGTTCTCCCCTCTCCCCTCTCCTGGAGGGTTATTCCTACCGTCTTCCACAGGTGGGTCTCAAAATACAGTATTGGTCCAATTTATGCGCTCGGATTATCCAATATAATATGTCGCTTTTGGATCTTTTTTGTTTTTGTTGTTAAATAATTTTTTGGCTGAATTAATTTTGTTAGCTATACAACTATTGACTTAAATGATTTAATTGTTTACAAATACTGTTGCTTATATTATGTTCTATTATGATTAATCTAGTAGAAATTATTTTCTTTGATTTTGATTCAAAAAGTTGTTTCACTACAATTTTGCGTAATTTATTTTCAAACATCAAGTTTGTATGATGATGGGCAGCTCTTTTTGAAAATTATGTTTACTTAACATACTATAAAATATTGGAAGTTTTTTCTATTGGGATTGGTTGGAGTTTGCAGTTTGGAGTTAGTTGGGATCATGCACTGGGATAATAGCATCTGCGCACTTATTAGGTTTTTGCATACATATTTCAATATCAAGAGAATAATTGAATTTTGAGATAGTGACATCTAATTATTAGGGGCTAATGTTATTATTGTTTTCTATTAAAACGGTGAATTACATTTTACTATTAATGAATTTAATGTCTATCAAACAGTAGGTATGTTATTACGTATTTATTAAAAAAGGGACACAAATAATAAGAATTTAGTCTTTGTTCGTTTACAAATTTATAGCAAAACGAAGGAAAATATCTACTTAAAAAAGCAACGTCGTCAATGACTATTTTTATTGAACCAATTTTTAATATTCACACATGTGCTTTCATACCTTTTCGCTGTTCAAGGTTAAGTGAAAGTTCTCAAGCATCATTTGTTGGTGGCCGTTGTTTGCGATGACGAAGGCCATTTTTTGCTGAACTGATAAGACTAGGTTAAAGTGGGAATTATGCTCCATTCTATATACTCTTTCATACAGTATTAAGAACAGTTGTGATGTATTGACGAAGAAGGTTGCTCGTTTTTAAATCGCGAATGTTAAGCTGAATCATTTACTTATAACTTCGTGTTTGTATGAAATTAATTGTGGATTTTCATAAGAAATTGATCGGTTAAGTGCTTGCTATTGGAGTGCATTAAAATTAATAATTGTTCACGACAAACATTAATAAGTATTGCAAGTAATTTAGGGAATTGTTAATGTGTGGTAATTGTAAACAGTTTTTTCAATAAGGCACCTGTAATAGTGGTTGTTTTTTCCTTTTTCTTTTCCGGATAAATCTTTGAAGAGACCTTTGGGAGGCAAAAATGGTAAGTATAACTAAAGCTTTTAAATTATTACAAATTGTGCATTATAAATTATATGCAATGGTTATTAAGTAATGAGTAATCATGTATTTGGAAAACTGAAATGTTTGATATTTTAACAATTTCTTGAAGTGTAGTACTAGTTTTTGTACAGTGTTAAGCGCATCCCTGAGAGAACAAATGAGGCAGCAATGTAATAAAAACTTAATTTTCTCAATTAACATTTAGGTATAAAATATAGCATGAAGCTGCAGTTACTCTTTCTATCCTTTGGAGGAATTTTAAAAACGAACTTATTCTATTCCTTACTTGGATTCATTGATATCATCTCTTAAAGAACGATATTCTTATCGCAGTTTAGCCATTTATTCTCGTCTTTGTTGCAGCTTAGTTCAATGTATAAAAGTCAGGAAAGTAGTTAATGTATAATAAATTATATATTAAAAAGCTTTGATTAAGGGAGAATGTATTGAAATATCTCATTTGTTCAAACACTATCCATTTGGAAAATGAAAAGTAACAATAAAAATAATAAATGTGATGAGTAGAAAAAACTGACGCATTTGTTAGATTATTATAAAAAATTCAGTTGGATTAAAATGACTTGATGATGAAATAAAGACTACAAAACGCATACATAGGTGTATTTACGAATTATAATAATTTATACGGCCTTTCTATCAAATTGAACTGGATGGTAGGTATTGATTATAGGTAGATACTATGTAACGTATTATGACCAATTGTTTTTGAATAAGGGCTGAATATAAATCCATAATTGTATTACATCCAAAAAATGGTAAATAATAATGGTGACTTGTAAACGTAGGTTAATGCAATTTACTTTTTGTTTACTTTTCACTTATAAATTGATAATTTTGCTGTTGTTATTGTAAAAGAAACACTTTGAAAGCGCATTTAAACTTGAAATAAAATTAAAAAAGTTAAGCTGTCATCTTCAAAGCATGTAAATAGGTATTCCAATTTTGTTTTCTCAGCTTCTGCTAAGATTAGTGACTAAATATATAATAAAACGTCATATGAATCAGTAGTATGTATTTATCAATATTTAAGATTACACAAATTATTATTAATGCACAAAATTTCACTAATACTAATGAGGAGATTAGAGAAAATGTGAGTTAATTACATATGCAGTTTTCTATTAATACTCAGTTCCCTGTGGATGGGCTGTTGTATATTGTAAAGGCATTTAGAGGATTTCGACTTCTACTTTTTAGTTTTGGTTATATTGAAATTGAAACAACGTGAACGCATATGTTACAAGCATAGTGTAGATCTACAAATGGAAGAAAGAAAATTAGACAAAAGTGCAATTTACTACATCCTAATTGAAATTAGCTCCAAGTATTGCAATGCTGCCAACATAAATGTTATGCAACTGCATTCACATCGTTCGTGTTGTCTTTTTCTACCACATAGTAAGTAATTCTGTACCCAAGGCGTTATCACGAGCGAATAAGGTAAACCACCAATGCACAAAAGCTTACTTTACCATGGTTATCATTTCACTTGCCCTGACCACTGGTCAAAAAACAAAGTTGGCAGCACCGTGAAAAATCGTCATTTTGGATGATGTTGGAAACTGTTCATCCGCCGAAAGTTAATTAAGCCTTATGAGTACGAGTTAAGTTTTTTTAATTACCTTGCCTAAGCCGTTCCAGTTCAGAGGTAGAGTGAGAATGTTAAATTCTGGCGTAGTATGTATTAGTTGAACAGACGCAAGCTTTAAAAAATGTATGGATTTTATATCGGATTTAATATTCACCACTTCATGCCACATATGATGGACCAGTAATCCAGTTACCGCTACCTGACATAACACAAGAGGCAGTTTATTATAAATAGGTACATACAGTTCTAAATCGCATACATACCTTTTTTAATACATTAACATACTTACCTCATTTTTAATCATGGTCCAGTTCAAAATATTAACTACAATTAACGAAAAGACCATAATTATTTCGGTTATATACAAGAAAATAACTAAGTAGGGTTTTCGAAACGCGTTATCAGAAAAGTGTAGTAACAACAAACTTCCATTAATGGACCCCACAGAAGATGCAAAAATTACGTTTGCTATAATCGACATTTTGAAAGTATCCAGTACGAAAAGGCTGTTCTTTATTGTACTACTGTGCAGATGTAAAAGTTTTTTAATCTTATTTAACTCAATATTAATAATAAATTCGTGTTCTTCATCGAGTAAATTATCGTTTCGAAATGCTTGATTGGCATTTTTAATATACGATATGCTTCTTTCACATAAGAAGTTTATGGTCTTAAGCTGAGTCTTAATATGCCAGTTTATTTTATAATTAAGCTCTGTTACTAGCCAGTTTATTGCCACATGCAATTTGTTGATGATCTCCAAAAACAAGTATTCTCTTTTACAATGTGCAAAATCAGTTGAAGAGTAAAAACATAGGAATATAACTAGATTTGTAACAAAAATTGATATCCCCAAATACGTAAAGATGCAACGGTGAGTTGATATTGCAGGTTTGTGTTTCAGTTGTTCATCTGTTTTCTCAATGGTATTGAAGATGGTCTTAAAGTTATGTCGATTGAACAACCCTTGCAGTATAATCAAATATTTTGGAGATTGAGAAACCAAGTACAATATTACATTTCTAATAATTTCTGTTGTTTTAAGACTGTATATCCAAGTAGATTGGAAATTTCTAAATGTTAGTATGAATATTAAACAGTTTACAATAATAAAAGGTACCAAGAATCTAACAAGGTCTCTCCGTGACAAAACAATTTTTTTATCTTCAACCCTAAAAATTGAAACACCAAAGTAGCTACCAAATACAACGATTTCTTGAACACTATCAAAAATGTTTTTATACATTTTGAACTTGTTTTAAAAAGTGGCCTTAACAGAACTGACTACATAGAATTGATCTGTACTCTGTTTTTATAGTGGAACATTTGCTGCGAATTACCTATGCTTTTCTAAACGAGCCAATGGGCTATAAACATATGTTTTTTAACTATTATGTGCCATTTCAATAATGAATGTATTTACGGATAACTGTTATAACACAGTAACGAATCAATACGCGTATTACAAATGGTGGTACTTATTATTATTTATGAATAGTTTCAATTTTCCATCTATCCATTAAAATTTCTTAAGGATGTTTGGGAGGTATGTCAAAATGCTACGAGACAAATAAAAATTTGGAGGAACGTTCCTCATTCAATACTAAAATTCCTGTAAAAATTACAAATCGATTCACTAAACCCTTAAGAAGTTATTGAAATTTTAAAAAATTGTAATTTTACACGTTATTTTATGGAGATTCGTTAACTGAACAGATTAAATTTATTTTTATTAACAGAAAAAAAGCTACCAGAAATTTCAAACTTTTATAATAAGTAACTTGAACTCTGGGGAATCACTTTAGCGTAAGGTTATTCAAATTCACTAAATGGTTATCGAGGAAAAAAAGAAAAATTGGCTGAAAATCTCGTTTTTACTTGATAATATAATGACAATATTTATAATTGTCTGAAATAAATGCAATTTTAAAGTTTTAATTATTATTTAAACATATTAAAAAGTTTTACGCTCATTATTAATAGAGATTGAAACTAAATATTTTTTTGTTTCGAAGTTGAAATCAAGGCATATTCACTGCCAAAAGTCAGTTAAAAATTTTCCATATTATTCGTTATTTCTTATTTTATTCAAAGTTTTTGGTCAAATTCCAAATTTTCTCTCAAACCGAATACTTTTTTTTAGTATAGATAGTATTTTTTTACCTCATGATATACTGCAAAACCTAATTAATCACGAATTTCTAATTTTATGTACTCTTGTCTCCGATTGTACCTCTCAAACATCCTTAAGGCAGACCGCTGGTTGACATAGCTTGGGGTTTTTATTTTTCAATTTTTTTTGTAATAGTTGGAGAGATGAAAGAGAATACGGCTGATAGCTTAACGTTTTGACTAGGTACAAGATCCATTTATTAAATTCGTGTGTAGGGAATATAAACGACATGTTTCCTAAAAGCATGCATCTTCGTCAGTTACCCTCGGGTGCGGGGTCACAATTTTACTCCAGTCGTACCAAATTGAAAATAGCACTGTCTCATCGTTTTTCTAATTAGTAAGTGAATTGAATTGTTTTTGTTTTGGTAAACTGGTAGATCGAATTGAGACGCTTTCTAAAGCAGTTTCCAACAGAGTTGTTAACTGTGGTTCCATGTATGTTCTTCTGTTTTTGATGTTTGGGGTTGTGTGGTATCCATCTTGTTATGGATATTCACTTGCGTCGAGTTGTCATAACCTTTTCAATTGAGTCCATACCTAATTATGGGGATATGTAAAAAAAAAGCGGATACCACGCAATGCAAAATATCAGAAATTAGAAATTATGACAGTTAATCACTTCTTCGAAAACCGCTATCAACAGCGCGTCAGGTCTTCCCTTTGTGCACCTTTATACATATAAAACCCCTTACTATTAAGACAGCAACATTCTAGCTCAACGGTGACAGGAAATAAAAGATACGTCTCAACTAACCCTCGATGTCATCTAACCCCTGTCTTCAATTAGAGAATCCAATCAACTTGCCTGCTATTTATTTTCAACGAAAACTAGACGTTACGTCGCTTTACTGCTTCTCGTGCTAAATTCACTCAGTTGTTCCTTAAGTTTAGTTTTCTTACCAGAATTGATCTGTGTAATAATCAAAGATTATCGTCATTACCTTATAGGCGCTATGATCAATTTTTACTTTTTTTGAGCTAACGACTGGTCCATGTTGTTGTTTTAATTCGAGATCGTAATAATACAATATAATAAACAAAGGCTTGTTTTTTTTCCGGAGTTTCAATAAGAATTGCATGTTATAACGTTTCTTCAACTTAAACGACTTAATAATACTGATCGTTCTAGATGGCTTAAGAATATTAGAAACAGAACACGCAAAATGAAAATGGAATGATTGGTTTGCGTTTTCGGGCCTCTGCGCAGAAGTCAGAAAATTTACTTGCGCGCAGTCTCTCGTATGAGTGTGGTACGTTCGTGTACGCGGTTATACCCTTGCGCAGTCACTGCTGCGCAGAGGTCTAGCTATCTATTATGGTACCTATTAATTATTCTCATAAAATCTTACCCCCTCCACTAGAGTTGGGTCTTCATGAGATGGCTAAAAAATGGGCTATGCGATGGTGTGCAGCAGTACCACCCTTCGCAAGACATTTTGTCCCAGCATCGCTATTATCATTTCTCTTTGATTAGCCCTGGTACTCTGAACTTTTCACTTCAGTTGAATTGGAAAACCAAGGGGATGCGTTTAGCATAATATATTGGTATCAATAAAACAACAATGAATTTTCGCATACGTTTAATGTTTGTTTATTATTAACTATTATTAGATTAGGTATCAAAGGCGGCTGAATTAATTAGCATGTTTGTAAACTCTTCTTCAGGCACAAATTGCATAAGCGATTGGAAATAGAAACAAATATAAATCAAAACGCAATTAGTAACATATTACCGCCGAACTAGTGTACATTAAAAATTTATTTTTCCAATCATGAATGTGTTAATAGTAATTAAGACAATAGTAAAAAAAGTTTTACTTATAGGCCCTATACCTACTGGTAAATTTCAACGTTCTTATCAACATTTACCGTACACATTTGATACGTGTTGTGAACAAGTTTCATTTCTTGGGTGCTACCACAGTAAGCACATTTTAGTGTAGTTTTTCTAAGGATTAAAAGAAGACGTACGTACATACGCACATGGATATGCAAATATATACGAGGTTGCTTTCTTTTATCCTGTGGAAACTATCGCATTGTAAGTATTAGGGTACTAATTACAATTATTATTAATTAATAATTAGTGTAGTTATAATGCACGTTTAAATCCTCTAGTCGGTTAAGGAAATATCACAGACACTTTATCGTCCTTCTGCAATCAACCGATTCATTTTACAGGGCAATGCCGAAAATCAAAGTCAAAATCAGTGTAAATATCGCGGCTGCTTCATTTGGTGCCGAACTTTCTGCAATAATCGCGGTCAGTTTGTTTTGTTCCCGTATTTCTTCTCTTACCGGTTCTTGCGCTCCCATCAGATTCTCATCGACGACAGTTTTGTAAAATCTCTTGTCCTGTTCTTCCTTCGTGCCCACGACCAGTTTTCTGTTGTTCATTATTTTTGTCTGGTTTTTAAAAAGTTCTTCGAAATTCTCATTCTGGTCTTCGTAGTCGACTTTGATGAAAGATGTTATCGTTATTTCGAAAACCTTGTTGGGATCCGGTGGGAGAGAAGATATTTCTCTTTTCCTTCTACCATAACCTATGGTACCGTCACTGCATTCAATCTGGGAAAAAAGGAAAACACTTTCGTAATTTTAAATCCTAATTTCAGGCTTTAACTACTCAGCCGATGGTCATGAAATTTTGTACACCCATTGTTAGGGGTACAAAAAAGAATAAGGGGACACTTTATGCAGAAAAATAATACAGTTCCCGAGGGATAGAAAATATTTGTTTCATATGGTCGTCGATGATTTTTGACACGCATTTAGGACATTAACGTGAGCGAAATAATCATTTATTTACATTTGAATAGGGAATTTATAAAAGCCGTTAATTTGCACCCTATTGTTTCAGATTTTTCATCTTTTTATTACTTGAAATTTAGTTTGATCAAGTAATTCTTAATGAGCAAATTCCATTTTGTTACATATGTACCATTGTTTTCATTTTCACAAAAGTTTTCTTTAACATTAAAGGATGTGCAACTATATTCAATTTTAGAAAATACTACAAATGGCGCAGTAAACGCCATCTGTAGCACGGTCTTACATTTAAGGATTATGTATGCTCCAACAAGGTCCACTTGTGTGGATATCTACTTGCTGAAAACGAATCCCGGCGTAGCCAACCTCAACGTGATAGGCACGTTAGCTTAATCGAATAAATTAATTCGAAATGGTCTGTATTCTGTCGAAACTGCCAGACGCGGATCGCGATTTCGATCTTTTTCGATCTTATCAGCGCGTTGCAGGCAGCTCCGACAGAACACAAACCAACTTTTACCTGCTGTCTTAACAGTGCGTTTTAGAAAATACTATAAATGGCGCAGTAAACGCCATCTGTAACACGATGCTACATTTTAGGATTACGTATGCTTCAACAAGGTCCACTTGTGTGGATATATGTATAATATATTCAATTTGTCAAATAATCATTGAAAAAACATGTTCCTAATAGTGGCTAAAGATGTTCTTAATTATGAAAAACGTTATAAAATGATACTTACCCCTCTACATTTGTCTAGGCATACGTTCACTGTTCCTTTAAATTGAACGTATGTCGATTCGGGAAACTTGAACGCCCTGAATTTTGCTGATAGAAAATCTCCATCAACTGTATTAAAGTTTTCAAACAAGTAGGGATCGACAGAGCAACTGTAACAAAGTTTTTTAAGTTCACGTAGGTACATTACTTATTACTATAAATTGAATAATAAAGATTCTGCCTCATATGTTCAATATTTACCCGTTGTAAATGATTGTTTCTTCCTGTTTTTTCGTGTCAGTTACTTGCATGTGGGACACAAGGATTCCGTAAACTGGGGCGGAATTTTTGTCGAGAAATATTTCCATTTGTAAGGGAGTTCCTGGAGATACATTTAGTTCTCCTGTGACAAGCTTACCCCCTTGACGCACCCCCACTCCCAATCGCGGTTCGGGAGCTGTTTGCTCAAAACTTGTTGTAATTTCGATTTCGCTGAAGAAAAAAAAAAACAAAATTTTAATATGTATAATGACTAGGTATTAGGAATAAATAGTCAGAAAACCAACTAGATAGGTACATACTGAGGAAGGTTCAGGAGGTCCGGACCTCTCACACGTTTTTAAGGAAGTTAAGATAATTGATAGTAGTAAAAGTGAAATAAATTAAATGCCTGTAAAAAGGTTGAGTTCATGATGACAATACGCGGTATTACGGTTTTCTTTGTAAATAATTTCCTTTATATATTAATTCATTAAAAAGGAAGGTAGGTACCAGCTAGTCGAAGAAAAATTTTGGCTTTTTGTATGCAACTAGTTGCTTTGATTTCTTTTAACTTACTCCGGTTCTTGAAATCCTGCCGGAAGAACATCCCTACGGGACACCGAATGATTTTTAAAAATCGTTAAGGAACACTTAACATGAAGCATCTCTTCCACAAAGTATGGTTCCTCATTTTCTATTATAATAGTCTGGTAATACACTTGCTTGCCCTGAAAGAAATTAAGACTTAGAAAATTTAATTCATTAATTCATTTTCTGGAAACCGAAGAAGTAAACTAAAATAAACATCTTGAATTTTGCGTTTTATTAAGTAACAAACATTTATTATTGAAGAAATCGTGGGTGTATCTCAATGAAACATTTTAATAAGGAAAACGCAATTGTCGAGATTGAATAAATATTCTGTTGAAACATTCCTTTTGCATTTTCATGAGCAAACATTTAAGCACTATGTACAATTATCGAGTCGTAGCTTATATGAACCAACCCAGAAGAACATAAAACAAAAAGTTCAAAATTATATTAGGCTACATTATTTTCATGTAGGATGAATAAAGTGATAACTACCCTGTTAAGTACAAAATATACTGTAACAAATTTTATGGTAAATACTTGTCAGATCTTGTATTTTATACCGTACACGGTAAAGGTGCGAACGGTATCGATGGCCGCCCGAGCCACTCATTCACAAGAAAACGTTCCTACTTGTTTGCTTGTTTTAATTTGAAACAGTACGAAAGTACAAAATTGTCAAGAAAATTAATGTAATGGTTCTTGAGTTATATTCTAAAAGTAGTTTTCATAAAAACCAACATTTTTAATGCCCTTGACAAAGATAATTACAGCATTGGTTAAAGTCATTACGTTACATAATACCTAGTACATACTCTAATAGAATCCATCCAGTAATTCTGGAGTTTTAAGGGAATATACACTTAAAATCTGCTGATGTAACTTTCTGTTATATTACGATGCTACTTACATTATGGGAATGTAATTGTCGTAGTAGTGGATATTAAATTTTGCCCTAAATGCGTTTCATACATTTTTTACCTTAATAAATACAAGCAGTATTTATGAAACGTTTGCATTATAGGTTTTAGCTGTTTGCTTAGAATAGTTCTGTAGATATTAAGAGTACTACATAATGGATATAAAATGAGTATCTATGTTGTGAAGCATTGGCTGTGAAATCGTTTGTCATTTTTATAATAGCGCAGGCGATTTGATTGCTTGATGCTTGATCCTCGTCCTCATGTTTATTGAATGGCCTGTCAAGAGAATAACAATGCATCAATTTCCTTCAGGTAAACGATGACGGTATAAACCTATTTTTAGTAGGAGCTCACTTCCTCTTCCTTTGATGTACATAGCAAGTCTTTTCTCATTTAAATTCCTTTGTCCTTTTCAATTAATTATAGTTTATAGGTACCTAATTAAATTTATTTCCATAAGGTTTGAAGTATTATTCATTAATATTTAGCACCTTATCGATGAACAGTGTAGTAATAATAATATAATCCTCTTTAGCATATAGATTGATGATCTTTTACTAAAATGAACCGACAGTTTACTATTTTTTTATGATTCGGCGATGTTTGCGAAAAATATATAGCAATCAGGGATTTGCTGACTACGGGCGCAGTTCTACGAAATGTTTTCAGGTAAATTTGCAAGGGAAAGTTAATGAATCTTTTGGGTGTTGTCTTTCATTTTCACCAACAACTAAAGCTGGGAGTTCAGCCGTACTAAGCCAGAGGGTAGGAATTATGGCATTGGATAGATGGTGATTGGTATGAGAAACATGAGACGGAGGAAACGACGACAGATGAGAGTGAAAGATTATCTGTGGAATATTACAGCTTCAATATTTGCTTAAGTGATCAAAGGAAACCTAAGAAAAGACTTGGGCCAGGACGGACGGACCCGGAATCGAACCCGTGTCCTACCGAATACTAAGCGACGATCCAAACCTCTAGGCCACGCCGCTCGGTGCAAGGAAATAAAGCGGTTAAGTAGATATTACCAATATTCAACTATCGTTCGCCTCTTAAAAAAAAAGTTCTGCCCTGTATCTCGTTAAACTACTAGAAGAAGGTTTATTTGCCTGCCGGTATGCTATAATTTATAATGAACATTAATAAGGCTGCAAGTAAATAGCGTAAAGTCATAATGGCGATATAAAAATACCCATTGGAAAACATCAATGTACCGTTTGTACTTACTCTCACGAGCATGTGATCGAAATTTGGAATGGTCATAAAAATCTCTTTCTCATGACTGGTTTAGACTAACGGCGTGCTTGTCATATTTGGCCAGCTTAAAATATATTTCTAAAGTAGGTAATTTTGCGTTGAATAGCGGAAGTCTGTTTTATCTGTTCAGCAACGCCTAAAAAATATCTTTTACTCGGAGTTACAATGACCGGAAGTGTATGCCGAAAAATGTTTACAAGCCGGCGACGACTCGCCGTTTTGCGAATTAATGTCCTTATTAACACATAAAACGGCATAATGACTGGCACTAATTAAAATTTAACGCGTCTCGTCTGGTAGGCAAAACAAAGCACGTAAATTTATCCAAAGATAACGTACCTTTTTTCAACCCTTCGCTGCTCTCTGGCTAATTAGCTGTCACGCTACTAATTTGTATCAATCTCCGTGGAGAAAAATCGTAATTAAAGTTTCCATCTTATCATATTATCAGCCAGCGTCATTTGTGTACGTATAAACGTATATATTAAATACGTAGTTCATTTACGAATGTTGGAGAGATAAAGAGACGCGATAATAAGTTTAAATGAGCTTGGGAATATATTTATATACATCTACGTCTTGCTGTGGGTACACTACTATTAGAAAGAGTAGAAGCATTCAAAACTTTTTAAACCAAAGCAACGAATTTTTTGTTATACTTAATATATTTGAACAGGCCCTGTAGGTAGGTACATAAGTGGCAGCAAAAGTTTCTTTTATAGGTTTATGAAATGTGACCTTTGGTATCGATTATCACCCGAGGCACTCGATTACAGAAACATTGATAATAAGCTAGTTCACAAATAAATTTTTTTTGCAGACGGTAATAAGAGCTTTATATAATACACTAATTAATTATTACTTGTGAAATTGAATTAAATAAAACACTAAAACCTAATATTTGAAACAAAAACGTTAAAATACCTGAAAGATTCGGAACGTTTAGACTATTTAAATGTTTTAATCAGGAATTTTACGTTTTAGTGTTTCATTTGTGAATTATTTAATATTTTTTTTTAAATTGATTGCAAATATGTTGGAAATAATTAAATTGATTTTCATTAACTGAACCTAAGTACTTTTGCATATTTTACTATTTCTACAATTTATAAAATTGATGAGCAACTTGTGAAAAGTGTTTAATTGTGCTGATGCTTTGAATACGTATTTGAGATATAATAAACTAATTGATTTCCATGCAAGATGGGTGTTTCTAAACTTTTTGGCGACACTGTATGCGTTTTACAAAGCACTAACAGTTGAATACTTGCTGGCATGTTAATGAAATTAATCAATAATCCATTTCGTTCTTGGCCTCGTAATGCATTCGAGTAATTTCACGGATAACGTCGAGTAACGAGTAATTAGTCAAATCAAATATTTTTCTTAGCTGTATCCATATAACTAACTATACATATATGTATATTGATACGAATGCTCCTATACTTCCATGTTTCTTAAGCGGATAATCATTATGGTGATGGAATGAAGGGAATTGTATTTCGAATCTCAGTTCTTTTATGTTTGCAGCACTCTCACGTATAATCAACTGCTTCATGAAAAGTGTGAGCATTTCGTGAAACGCTGCTACATATTGAAACAACTAAAGGTCGGTACACATTATTAAATATAATTTAATGATTTCAAAAGGAACTAATTGTTATCAGGCTTTTGTTGCGTTTTTGTTCAGTATGCTCGGAAACAATGACCCTCATCATCATCATCATCATAAGATCGTCTGTCCTAAGACTGGTTGGACACGTACCTTCACTCTTTCCTATCCTGAGCTAATCTTCGCATTTTCCTAAAACTAGAACAACCCATATCCTTAACTATTTGCGAACAGTAATCTACATAATCTAGGTCTATCTCTACCCCTCCTAACTTCCGTTTCTGTCTCTAATATGTCTCTGACTAGAGCTTTATGCCTGAAAAGGTGTCCTACCAACTTATCTCGCCTATTTCTTATTGACTTCCATAGAGTCCTCTGTTCTCCTATTCTTTCTAATACCTCTTCATTTCTAACCTTCTCTATCAACGATATCCTCATCATTTGCCTGTAACACTACATTTCTAACGCTTCTGGCCTTTTCTTTTCCGCCGCACCCACTATCCATGTTTCGCACCCGTACAGCGTCGTGCTCCAAACATACACCTTTAACAACCTGTTTCGAATTTCTGAATTAACCGTTTCCGAGCAAAGAAATGACTTCTTTTTATTAATGGCGACTCGAGCCTGCGCTATCCTCTGCTTTATATCCCTACTATTCCTTCCGTCCTGACTTATCTGATTTCCTGGATACCTAAAATCGGCTACTTCTACTTTTTCGTCTCCTATCTTTGTATTCGCTCATTCTCTACTTTTTTTTTCTTCCCTTGTGTACTAGTATTTTTGGTTTACTTTTATTTATTTTCATACAGTACTGTTTTGTCAATACCGCTTCCATTTTATTTAAACCTATCTTTAATTCATCCTTGCTAGATGCTAATACTGCTATATCATCTGCAAATCTAAGCATACTAATATTTTGCCCTGTACATTTATCCCTACAGTTGTACTGTCCTTAATTATGTTGATCGCGTTTTCGATGTATAGGCTATATAATATGTACTTCTCTACGTTGCAGCCCCAGCTCCATAATGAACCTAATGAATAAAAATCAAGCAATGGTCTGGCTTTTTCGATCTTGGTTTTGGTCTTGCTCAAATACTTTTAGTCTCGGTCTTAGTCTTGCTGATATGGTCTTTTTAACATCAGTTTCCAGAAAATAAAAGCATTTGCTAAACTTTTTTTGATACGACGAACCGACTGTTTTGTTTTTCTTTAGATATTTTTCTCCTTTAATTTCTTATACTTTGTTACCACTACTATGATATTTCTCAGAATGGATCTTTCAGTTGTTTTGCTGTTTTAATATTTTTTTAATCTTGTGGATGATCTAATAGCACCACATTAGACTCACACTTGGGAGGTCGGTAGGTAATACATTTCCGAGGCCGACTGCTTAATTCAAGTTTTTTTTTCTATGCCTTCTTGAGATCATCTTGGGCAGCTGCTACGGGGCAGTAATCCTCACAGCTTCTTATTATAATTCTCATCCTCCAGCTGGATTTTAAATACTTTCCGCGTTAAAATAGTTTCCGAGCTACTTGAAAATATTGTTAAGAAATTACTATTTTATTTAGTAGTGTTATGTAAGTGGAATTTTTCTAACCGTTAATTTATTGGTGACCCTGGTGGTTCCACATTGGAATACATCCTTCAAGTTAAGTTCAAATATTGATAACGAGTTGGTCGGGTCCATTTTGGGTCGGCACGCAGGATCTGGATAGTCTTTTAGTCCTTGCAAATAAATTCTTTTTGTAGTTGCCGTAACTGGGACTTCCACTCGCATTGTGTCTTCTGAACATCGTACCTTAGGACCAACTGTAAAAAAAAAATGAAATAAAGTAATAAAAAAATCAAAGCAATATTAAATAATTTTGATGTAATTCGATACCATTTTGAATGGTTTGTACAGAAATTTTATAGCAATGAATAGGATTTTCCTGTTGTTGTATATTATTAATTAACGCTACTGTACAATGTATATTCGATTTTCTATTTTTTGTGGCGTTATGTTGGTTCTCTTGTCTTTTATTTATACCGACAAGTTAGGCCAATGTTCAGTTAATTTTTGACAACTGCTTTGCTTGCATGTGTTTTGGCTCGTCTTCGATTTTTGCCTGTTCCAGAAAATAGACTAAAGGAATCTGTATCAAATTGTGTGTCAAAGGGCCGAGAAGTTGTAAACGACGAAGAGTGTGCCCGAAGCCTGACCACGTCAACAATAGACGAAAACATTGATGAAGTGAAGAAATAGTATTGGCCAATCGTCGAATCACCGTTAGAGAAACTGCTAAGGACTAAAACATACGCCGCGAAACTAGTAACAAAATTGTTCAATTTCGACGAAAAGCATCATCGCATTAACATTGCTAAAGAGCTGTTAGACTCCGTCCGCCACGACCCAAAAATGCTCCAGAAGGTCATAACTGGTGACGAATCATGGGTTTATGACTATGATGTGGAAACCAAAGCTCAATCATCTCAATAGAAGCTGCCTACAGGAAGAAGTAGAAGATAAACAAATAATATACCCTACACAATTTGGATTTTCAAGAGGAGTAGGAGCCGTACATCAAGTACCAAACCTAATAATACATGTCGAAGAAGCTCTGAAAGAAGGACACAAAGTTATTCTAGCATTATTAGAAATAGAAAAGGCGTACGACACAGTATGGAGAGAGGGAATTCTGTATAAAATGAGACAGTCAAATATAAATGAACACCTAGTTGAAATGTACCAAGAAATTATTAAAGAGCGTTACTTTCAAGTTAATGAAGGTAAAACATTATCCAGTATAAAGGAAGCAAAAGACGGGGTACCACAGGGGGGACCATCATCCCCAGTACTGCACAATATGATGATGTACGAATTGGGAAAAATAATAGAAGAAATATAGTTCGCAAAAATCTTTCAATATGCGGACGACATTGCAATAATAAATAATATGCAATAATTCCGAATGGAAAAAATACTAAAAATAGTCAATGACTAATGCATGAACTGGCGAATAAAGATTGATGAGACAAACACAAACATATTATGTTTTGGAAAAGGATCTTGTAAAAACAAGGAAATAAAATTCAATTCTAAGACTCTAAAAGTAAAAAGGAAAGCAATCGTATATCTGGGAGTGAAAATAACTACGAAACTGAAGTGGAACCAGCATATAAAAATGAGAAAAAACATAGCAAACAAGACAATAAGAAAACTTCACTATATATTAAGACATGAAAGCAAGATAACCCTAAAAACAAAACGAAACTTAATAAATACAATAACAGAAAAGCAGGCCTCATACGCAGAAGAAATCTGGAGCGGCTAAGATACAAACTACCAGAAAATGATGGCAATTCAACGAAAAGCTATGAGGAAGATAACAGGCGCTCCCTATTATATCTCCAGCGAAGACTTAAGGAAAGAGTTAGCTCTGAGTCACCTACTAGAAAGAGCCAAAATGAGCAGACAAAAATTTATTAAAAGTTGAAAAAATGGAAGCAAAAAAAAGATATCGGACACAAAATGTCCTAACTAATGAACTATCAACACTAAAGTTAGTGCAGTCATAAGTACAAAGTACTTGAAACCACAAAAACAGAGATGATCCAAAAAAAAAACCTGCCGCACAAGCCAAGACCAAAAAACGCGCCAAGTTAGGTCGAATTTGAAGGTTTTGCTTACAGTTTTCTTCGATTGTAAGAGCGTGGTGCATCATGATTTCTTGCCACAGGGTAGAACGGTCCAATAAGGAATATTACCTGTAAATTATGCGCAATTTGCGCGAAATAATCCGCCAGAAATTCTCGGATTTGTGTAAGAACAAAAATTGGCTTTTGCACCGTGATAACGTCCCTACTCACACATCGTTGCTTGTGCGCGAATTTCTTGCAAAAACCAACACACTAATAATTCCGCAGCCACCGTATTCCCCTGATCTGGCCCCCTGTGACTTTTTCTTGTTCCCGAAACTGAAGAGGCCCATGAAAAGACGACGCTATGCTACGATTGAGGAGATAAAGACGGAATCGAAGGAGGAACTGTACAAGATCACAAGAAAACATTTTTTGAAGTGCTTCGGGGATTGGAAAAAATGCTGGCATAAGTGTATAATATCTGGCGGGGATTACTTTGAAGGGGGCAGAATAGATATTCGTGAATAAATAAATAATTTATGGAAAAACACAAAATTCAGGATACTTTTCGAACAAACCTCGTACATATAGGTACATAATAGAAGTTGTAATTAGCTACCAAATACGGAAATGTCGTACTATATATTTACAACTCCCGTCCTTTGTAGGTTTAATAGGATCGCAAGTTGTAATTAGAACATTTATATTTGATAAAAATACATTTGCTATGAATATTTATGCATATACAACTGGGTTGAAATTACGAACTAATGGCTAGTATCGTCACTATGTGCGCTTAAAGTGGCTACGAATTACTGGTTTCTATAAATAATTGAGTTGATTATTTTAATTACAGCAAAATTAATTGGGAATGTTGTGTTTAGTAGTAAATATCATCTATTAAATTAATTAATATATGACTGCCGCTTAAATTACTGTTCTTTCTTAAAAATCGGCTACCTAGCGGTAAAATGTGCGAATTATACTTATATCTGATTGCAATTATCTAAGCGAAACCCGCTATAAGGTTTTTGTTGTTTGTCGTTTATTGAAGACAAAGAAGATGAACATGCTAAATATAGCTAACTAATGTATTGGACTTCAAGTCTTCAAAGATTTCTAATAGTTCATTCCTATGTGGGGGAACGGGCTCAGGATTTTCCTCACTTTTGATGGAAAGACTAATAATTTCTAAAGCAGTCGTATAACTTTACAATTTTGTATTATTGTCGGATAGTAGATACTACGACAGTGGAAAATTTAGATGATTGATAATGAAGCACTGTATGGTATTTGTCGAAGAAATTTAGACATAGGATGACCATCATATACAAATCTAGACGGATTATTAGGCCAAATAGTGCCTTCAATCAGGGGCGCAACAACGTTACAGTTTGACTGGGTGCTCCCATCATAATACCATAAATATTAATATACTGCTGGTGTGTATAAGCTGAAAAGATCGAGTTCGGCTGCTCATTTACGAGCTTGAACTATTTGAAGTGAACTTTCAAGTTGGGTTATTATCTGAATCGACTGGAATTGACTGGGTGCCCAACCCGATCGAGTGGGTGCTCAGGCACCCATGTACCCCCCCTTGTTGCGCCCCTGTCTTCAATAATTTCGTCGTTATATACGTTTCAATGGTGCTTTAAATGTAGACTTGTTAGGGTTCCAAACCCTCACGTTCACTTTCCATTCATAACATACGCTCTTATTATTTTAATAAGAAAAAGCCTTCATGAGCAACTTGCTGTACCGGAGATTACAAATTCAGGATAGGAAAGAGTGCGTGTCCATCCAGTTTCAGGACTGACGATCCTAGATCATGATGTTTATTGTTAAGGTCATTCAGAAAATGTGCAAATAGAAACTGGGAAAAGGATATACGAGGGTGGATTGATAAGTTTCCGGCCTAACCAAGAGATGACGTCACTAGGCCTACCTTGAGGTGACATTCTATAGTACCATCCTTGGATAGCTTGTAGCTATAGTTTCAGCCCGATCTCCTTGCTAGTGTAGGTTTGACAGCACGCTGAACAA